TTTCTCTTAGTTTTCATTTTATGTATACTTTGTTTACATTCTTTTTGTTTTTCCATTTTTATCGGCATACTTCTTAAATTCTGCTATTCTTAAGACGGTATTAATAGTCCGTTCTTATTATAAGACAGTTTTAAATAATGTCTTAAGATACTAATGTAATTCTCTGATTGGTTTATGACATCTAAAGACTGTACATGAGATAATCTCAAACATAAAAATCGACTATAAATGCCTATCTTAACTCGTTTTTATAACTTAATGTTTCTGTTTTTAGAGGGCTTGCACTATAAGACACTAATAAACCCACTATTTTTCTCTTTCCCTCTCATGAGAGGATTCCTTTCTCCTGAAAAGGAACTGTCGCTAAAGAAGGAAGATTGTGTAGGTGTCCTTCACCTTCGCTCTATCATTTGCATATTTAAATAGTCCGTGTATAATCTATCGCCCCACGTGGATTCCTGCTCTCGTCAACATCCTTTTCCGGAAATACCGGTCGACTAGACGGTCGGTCAACCTTGAAATGTTTTGGGAATATCCGATGACTCGTCCCTCGATTCCTTCTTTTTGTCCTGGTCGTAACCGGTCCTCCCACGGAATGAACGAGTAGCCGGGTAATTATGAGGTAAACCGACGATTGCCGACGCGGCCAAGGTGTCAAGGTAGGGAGTTTGCTCCTGAAGCGAAGTGAATGCCTTTCCCGGCTGGTTGATCCCGGCATCTCAGTACTCCTGGTGCCGCACCGACCGATGGGACTCGTCGTCTCTTCGCGCGCGGTCGCGATTAAGAAGGGCGAAGGTACGTTCGTTCAGCTGGAGATAAGGTGATCAGGTCAAGTTCAACAATCGGCAGGCTGACCGATCGATCGCGCATCACGTCGTTGTCGGCCGATCTCGAGACGAATTATCGCCTTAGGTGAAAATCAAGCATTAATCCCGGGATCACTCAAATAAACCAAACACTCGAGTACATCTCATTTATCACTTCCCACGTACCGTAGCCTGCAAAGCGGTCAGAAAATGCTTATGTCACTTGTATAAGCGCTTCCTAAGCGCTTTGCAGGCGCTGCTGTGTTACGTGGATTGTGCTCATTTATCGCATATATCCTTGAATATTGAATATAATAATTCGTAAAACGCTTAATCCTCTGCTCCAACGTCACAAATCACGCATAAATGAGTAAAAAATATACACATATACGTGAAATTTGGAATTCTATTAAAAAGATTGGGGTTAATGTTTTGTGATCGTAATCTGGAATGATTAAGTGATTTCGAAAACTATTTTACATCCTACGACTACATTGCTAATTATAATCCGCGACAGTGATGTCTTCTTTAATTTTGAACGTAGTGTGTGAAGAATGTGCCGGATAAATCGAGTGCAAATGTCCTTTTCCGCAGGAATAAATCTGATAAAGTGAACTATTCAAAGATTAATTCCAGAAATGTGTGAGAAACTAATAGCTATTTAATTTAATGATTATGCTGCAACAAAAATTGGAATAATGCGATCGTAACTGTATAGCGTGTCACGCGATAAAATAGCAGTTAATTACTGCTATTAAAAATGGCGCGAGTTGAATGCGTCTGAAAATTTATTATGGAGGATTGTTTTGTCGTTACATATGACTCAAAGATCTTTGTAGATTGAAAACGATATAAATCTTTTGCGGTTGAAATATTCGTCATTAGAGAAAATCTGCAAAATTTACGTTAAATATTCCATTATACAATTCAATATCTTTTAATACAGGATAACTGTCCCAATTACTGTACCTGTCCCTATTAGGGTGCTTTTGTATTTCGATCAGTCATAAAGAAAACTAGGACGAATAAGTAAGAAAAAATATTTTTTCTTGTTAAATTAAATTATTAATGCATACGATACCGAAGATAATATTTTATTTTTTGAGCATTAAAGTATTTTAAATATTTTTCAAAAGATATGAGGAATTTATGTAAATCTAGTAATATGTACCGCAAGATTTTAAGCTTGTCCCTATTAATGTGTGCTCTGGAGCTGAGAACGTTGTGTTATAAGTATTGAAATAATATAATTGAAATAATGATTTATGTAATATTAACTTAAACAATTAGCTTAAATTTATTACCTGGTTAGTAACTATATATTAAAATGAGTCAAATGTGGATAGGCACACAAATTGGGGGCACATTAATAGGGCCATCGCCGCTTGGAGGACTCACTAATGGGGACAAAAACATGTTTTTTATTTTTTTGTCAAAAACATTATAAAGTACTAACATTTTTTAGATTAAAGAAATATTATAAGAAAAAGAAATAGTTGAAAACCCGATATTGATTGCAAGCAGATAAAATTAAAGCTACAATATTTAATAATTAATTCAGTAATAAGCAAGTTGGCTTAAAAGGCACATTAATAAAGACAGTTTAACTGTCTTTATTAATGTGCCTTTTAGCCAACTTAATAAGTTACCCTACGCTTTATTTGTAATTTAATGTCTCTCTATTTATCAATATGTATTCCTGTTAGTATATTCTTGTCATCATCCTTTAAATTTCAATTTTGACACGAATAAATTAGAATAATGAGACGCATAATATACATATTTATGAAACTAAATAATGGACGTTAAAATTCAAAAGATATATAATACTATCTTTAATATCCCAAGTAGCTCACAGCGCTAAAAAAAGCGTTGATAAAGCGCTAAAAAAATATATATAAGCGCTTTTTCAGCGTTTTGCAAGTGCTGCTGTGCTGCTTGGGATGTCAGACAGAGAGAGAAAATATTAAATTAATTAAATATTCGTGAAAAAAAATGTTCTTGACAATCGAAATTATTTGCTCTTGTGTTAATTATCGACCTTAGATCGAAAGTAAGATGAATAGATAGAGATAAATAGAGAATAAATAGATAAATAGAGACCGAATTTAAGGTCAATCGCGATAAATCAGGTGGATATGGGTGCACTATTGAATTTCGGTCGTACACTGAATACCTAAGATGGAATTAACGGTTTTAGAAAGCTGAGAAACAGCCAATGGGACAGGAATCGTGCAAGGAATTACCATAAAGTCGTAGAACAATTTGCGTCAGAAAATAATTTTCGAATGGACACGCACTCGCACAGAAAGCTATCTCCTGTCGTTATTTGTAACAGTAAAACTGAAACATTAACGCGCGATAATAATAAATATAACTAAAATTAATTTATCTTGGATTGCAATATGACAAAAAAGGCGTATAATTAGGTTGTTGGCATTTGAAAAATAAAGAAATTAATTCTTGTGTTAGAGATATTAACCTCCACTTACGCGTCTTTTAGATAATTCTGTCCGAACATTATTAAGTAACCGAATGAGATGATAAAATTTTATAGTGAACACGTGCTATAATGATTTGGCTAATTTAACGAACAATTACAGACTTAATTGTCCGGCGTGCGAGATAACTTTTAATTGTCATATTTTTCCAACACGGCGGCACGTCCGGGATATCGATCATGTAACTTTTTCTGTAGAGCGAAAACGTGAAAAGTGAACATTTTTACATGTGTATGTGTATGTATACACACATACATACATACATACACAAAATTTTTACTTTTCACGTTTCCATCTTAAAGAAAAAGTTACATGATTGATCCCCAGATTAAAAAAAGTAGGTAGTTCTTAGCAACATAAATGATGTCGCGACTAACGCCAAACTCCATACGTCGTCAATAAGGTAGAAGAATAAATCGAGCGAGAAATAGAAAAATTGAAAGAGATTTGTCGAGTCAGGATTCTCTTTAGCTTCCTCCATTAAACGTGAAGCCTTGAACAAAAGAGTGCATCTCGTGCGTCGCGCTCTCCAACATGACGCAGCGATCGCGTACGCTTTCGAGTACGTTGCATCGTATCGAATAAACTTGGAGCCCAAATACTCTCTCCTTGAGGTATGGGCCAGCATACACGTGGCAAACGTGCTCGCGTTGTTCCTCACTCTCTCGTAGAACGGCTTTTCCCTTCCGTTTCGGGGTCACGTTTTATCATGCAAGTACTTTCGATGCGTCGTATCTCATAGCTTCCTGTTTCAATGTTTTCATCATGTTTTTCACATTTCAAAGACTTAAGCGATATACAGAATGTCAGAGACGTCTACATTTTTTTCTGTAACATTATCTTAATGTTCTGAAATACTGCACACGTTTGCTATCAGTGCATTAATCCCCATTGGCGGATTCAGACATTTGTCAAAGGGGGGAGGGTTAAGTGAAATTTTTTTTTAAGGTCAGATATATATGAATACAATATGATATTCATTTTTATTTAAATTATTACATTGAAAAATTATTATTTAAGTGTATGATTTATAAAACGTTTTATTTAAAATTATATTAATATAAAAGAAGAATAATATAATAGAATCTATATTTGATTAAAAAATAATTTTGGAAAAATTAAAGTTATGATTAAACATTTCAGAATTACAAATATACATATAACTTTTCTATAAATATTTTTAAAAAAGGAGATTCCAAGAGAAGGCCATGGACCCCTCTCCATGGATCCATCAGTTCAGTGCCCTGGTAGAATTTTGAATATCTGTTAACGGAGAAATCTTACGAGTTCTATAGAATTGTCGAAAATGAGAGATCGTGACAAATCGAGTTAATTCAATATTTACAAGTCACTGAAATTCTTCCCGCGCGTTTCGTTGGTCGATCTTCGCCTTTTGATCGATGAAAGTGTCACGCCGTCAACGATTTGTGAATATAATAATGCATTATAAGGTAAACGTCCCAGTGACCGGACATGTATCTATGTCCGGACACTTTTACACAAAATTTATTAATATTATTAATCTCAAATGTTTTTAAATTCAATATTATAATTTAATTGTAATTTTTAAATGTAACTAAATTATAATATTGTAATAAAAAGAGAGCCTTTGGGATTAATAATAGGCAATAAATTATGTGTAAGTGTCCGAACATAGGTACGTGTCCGGTCATTGGGACGTTTACCTTAATACATATTTATTGTAGTGCCTTGATCTATCTCTTCGATTGTTCGCATCTAGCATCTGTCGAATCCGGTCACTAAATGATAGCCGCTGTAAATAATGGCAAAGGACTTCGAGGCAAAATTGCCGCGGGGAGACATTCTCCCGTCCCGTTCCACTTACGCGGGCATTAAGAGACAATCGTGATTATGTGCGCGAAGCTGCATCCCGCGCGAGCACCATTTCTTCCCTCTCCAGTACGTTAAAAATCTCACGCTCGTTCGTTCCGCTGAAATAGCGGCAGTCTGATTGCCGACTCTCTTGACCGAGAATGTCGCCATTAAAATTTGCCGCAAGAAATTTCGTCGCTAACAAAGTCTCACTGAGATATGTAATAACGGTTGAAGATGACCGAGCAAATTTAACCAAGCTATTATAGACATAAATAATGACAATTTGAAATAGACTGATGAGAATAAATGATGAGAAAAAATTTTTGTGCAAATTTACATACATATCTGATTCTGCGTGTCGAAATCTATTTCGATCTTCAATCATAAAGAGAACTCTCATATAATATTATAGATATCTTTCGTGTTATGTTTCAGATACTTTAAAGTTTCCTTTCTTTTTTAGAATCATGATGAGGCTCGCAATCCTCCTCGTCCTCGCGATCGACCTGGCGAATAGCCAGCTCAACTACGAGGGAAATCCGTTTACTGAGTACACCGAATACATCGCGGAAGAGAGCAATCTTTCCGAGAGAGCAGCTAAGAAAAATGACGTTTCAATCGACCTCCCCAACCCTGAAGTATCGTCTCATTCTCAGAAGTTATATCCGATCGTAGAATCCGAAAGCGATGGGCGTTCACAGCAAGCGGTGGAAACCAATAGTCTTCTCAAATCACAGATTTCATCTTCGGTTCAAACCTTTCAATCAAATACATCTGCTCGACAGTTTCAAGATTCTTCTGGAAACACACCGATCAGCCAGGCGGAGGTCGCGCTGAACACATTCTTAAACTCCAAGACACCCGAGGAATCTCGCTTATCTCTCGATCATTATCTCCGTAGTCAACAGTCGCCGGAGGTTCAATCGCGATCTTCGGATGCAATCATCAATCAGGAGTCATCGAAGTCAATTGAGCCCCTCAATCCTCAACCAATTTCCCACATCGAGCAACAACAGTTGCTAGTCCCTCAAGTAAACCAGCAACAAGTGCAGCAGACGTCACAGATAGACCAAGTCCAGTTGGTGCCACAACTAGTGCCGCAGGTCGATCAGCGGGAACAACTGTTGCCGTCTGTTGGTCAGACTTACGGCTATATGGGACAACCAGCCTTGGTACAGGCGGTACAGCCCATAATCAGAGCACCAGCTGGAGTTGTCCTGGCACAGAAAATGCTGCAACCAGTGCCACTCGTACCCGCTTTCCCAACCAGGAACGATATGATAACGCCGGCAATGTGGCGAGAGAGAATGAGAAGGCTACGCGGGAAACCGTTTCCCTTCGCTCAACCTAGAATAGGGCCGACATTGTATCAAGGGCCAATCGCAGGTGAGAAAACATATCTTAAAGAGAAAAGGCTGACGAGCCGGTTCGATAAGAGGCAAATAGTCTTAATTGCGAGAGAATAATACTTTTTTATGAATTGTGATTCAACAAAGAAAAAGCTGTTTGTTCTCGATAAAAGATTTACGTTTATCGAGTATCTCCATCCATTATTTATATCTTTTTTTCTGAAAGAGGATGATTCTTTATTCACACTAAAGTTTTGTTATTACTCAATTTATTCATGTCTGAAAATATTTATCTCAAATGCGTAAACATTGGTGTGATAGAAGTATGACCTTTTACTTAATGTTACAAGAATAGTGTTATGTGTTACGTCACGTTGCACATTTTTAACAGATTTATGCAGAAAGAAAGAATGAATAAGCATTTTTCACTATAATATATAATTTTTTTTTAAAACTGATTATACATTCGCGGATTGCTGAATAAAATTTACATAATAATACTGCATTTATAAATAAATATAATTCAATCTCACACACATCCTCGATTATTTATAATTATTCAGTAATATTAAACAATTATCGGAAAAAAATCAATATTTTTATGCGTATTAGAATGATTGACGAATAGCGTGCTTCTTTCAAATGGATGCGTAGATAGAATACACTCGCCGCGAATAAATTGTATAATTTTTTTTCTCCACAATGTTAATCATTTTCTGGACGTGTCAGTTCCTTTCAAGGCCAAAGCACCGATGGAAGTGATCTACACGAAACCACCGGGTCTTCACCGAGGACCGCCTATTCTCAGCAACCCACCGGTTCCCTATGAAGACGCGAGCTCCTGGTTTCCCGATTCCGATCAACCGCCTTCCCACAAGGACGTCTATTATTCGCAATTGTACTCACAGTCCTACGATCCTCACTATTACAACTACATCGCCGCGACCGGTAAGGTCCGGCCGTATTTATACGGAAAGTTAGGCAAACATCAAGAAGAACAGGAGGACGGTATCTGGACGGAGCTATATCGCGGCTTCAAGAAGCATGGTCTGAGAAATATCATGACGCCAACTTTCCTGTTGGGCATGACGCTACCAGTGGTGACTCTGATGCTCTCCGCCCTCGTACAGAAGCGATCCCTCGCGCGATCTGACAATGCGAGGGAGTTAGACCAGGAAGAAGTTTTGCAAGAATACCTCGAGAGATTGCAGAGGGCGATTGAGTGTTACGGTAGGAATTCCCGAGGCGAGAAACTAGACGAATGCTAGAATCAAGGATGTGTCTACCTGTTATGAGTATCGAGAGATATACGCGTAAAAAGTAGCCCAGTTAGCGTTGACAGTTGCATTTAATTATCCAGACAATAAAAAAATGTAAAAATTTTTAATATTTTTGGCACTCAAACTACTTTAATATTCAAACCATTTATACATTGATATCAGAATATCGGACTCTTTCTCTGTCATCATCTCGCATTTTCATTTTATTCAACGGGACTGATGTCCATTTCTATTTCCAATGTAGATTAACATTAATCTCGGTTTAATTTATTCTTCGTTCTTTTCTAATTCTTAGAATTAGATAAAGGTGAAAAGTAAGTTAAACTAATGTAAGAAATTAAAAAAGTTAATCTACATTAATAGAAAAGGGGCTCAGATATGATTGTTTGATTCTGGGATTCGTTTATTTAATACCTAGTTCGAAGTAAGACCGCTGCGTTTTGCGATAAACATACGTGAGAATAAGAATTTTTATACTTAAATCATAATAAAAATAATATTCTTAAAATCGCGTGTAGTTTGACACAAACGTGTAACTTTAGACAGAGACTGGCCATATTGATCAAGTACGATAATTGCAATCTATACATAGAACGTTAATATATCTGAAGAATAATATTATAGAACATTACATATATACATATATATATTACGTTCTTAGGAAGATTGCGTAAATATAATGTATCAAGGATACTGTAAAGAAAATTACAAAGCAAATTACATCATAGAATTAAAAAAATAATTGTGATCGCAACGTATATATTTATAAAAAAGCGTTTTGAAGTGATTTTTCTCAACTGAAAAGCAAGGCTTCAGGCAAATATTTTAGTTTCCGTACGATCAAATGACCGTTTCCAGCGGAAAATACTCATAAGTGCGGCGTAAAAGCATTTTGCACACGTTACACTATATCCGCTGTGCTACCGTAAGCTATCACTGTAACACAAGTCTAATGACACACGAACATTCCCATGATGTGTTATTAGTGTATTACGTAAGATCCACGTCTCTCCCCTGTCTGTCTTAAGTCGTTAGTTGCTGTGTGCTAAAATAAAAAGAAGAAAAGATAAAACTGCTAAAATTACTCTTCGTCTCTTTCTCGGATTAAATTTAGGAAAATTAAATAGCGAAAAGCAAGCTTGACTTGCCGATGTTACTGCATCAAACACTGTGTACATATAACGTGTATCTAATAAATACAAAGATATATAATACACTCGTGTTAATTAAAGTATATACCGTGCATACTTCGTTTACTATTCCTGACGCAACGAACAATTCCCACGTTATCCATCAACCCCGGGGAATCAAGCGCGGAAATCTTCCTTTCTTTTTTTAGGAGGAGGAATAGAGGGAGGCACGATAGAGAGTGAAATCTTCGTGAGAACTAAACTTTCGCGTTTCAATCATCGTGCACCTGTTCACCGAATGAAGATAAATTGAAGGAAGGAAGAACTAATTACTTATTATCGCTCCAACAATCTTAATTATTTATTCTCTTATATAAATGCGATGTCTCGTTTCGTAAAGACTATTGTTCTACGGCTCGTGAATAATTGAGTTATGCGTTGGGAGAGACGAGAAGAGCGATTTATCTTCACCCTGCGATGCAGCTGAAGTGGGACTGGAGCTTCGAATTCTAATCTCAAACGCGCGTTGCAACCCACGCCTTTTATCGCGTATACGGTCGCCTAATTTACGAGCTTATTAATATATTAGTTCGGGCTAACGCGTAATTGACCTTGCTGTTAAATTGCTAATCCGACATTGCTCGCTGGAATTGCCGTACATTCAAGCCGTTACGTCTGTTGAAAAATATATCACGCAAGTTTTCGAGCGCATTCTTTTGTATTATGCAACGCGCGCGTTTAAAGGGAAAACGATAAGTGTAGCTTTATCTATAAAGTTTTATTGTAAGTATAAAATTTTTTTAATTTCGTGTATAACTCATAAATAATTCAAAGTGATATCTTTGCCAACGGATTTTATGTATTTTATAACAATGTGACTATCGAATTAAGTTTTTTGTATTATCTTGAAAATATATGACACGTGATTGAATGCAGAACAATGTAGTAAAATTTAGTAACTGTATTGCAATTTAGTAAAATTTAATAATTATATCGAAAATAGAATCGATTTAGTGAACGATTTCAATGCGGAGAGTTTCACCGCCACTTTTTATTTTATCAATATTTATCAATATTTATCGATAGATATACGAAAATATATAAATAAATCAATAATTAAATGAGAAAATTAAATATTATAATAGATAAAACAAGAATATTTTTGTGTAACTGTAAAAATGTAGGAAAAAGATTAATTGATAACTTGCAGACTAAATACATGTTTGTATAAGGATGAGCTGTGTCCACAGTTTAGAAAGTAATACTAATCGGATCGACGTATCAGAATTAAGCTGGTTATGCCGGTTATGCCAGTTCTGTTCGGCGAAACGCGATGTTATAATACTTACTTCTACGATCTCAATCTAGAACACTAAAAACCTGTCAGCGTGTGTAAACCGTTAACAATAAAATGTAGGTCGCATATAAGAGTATACCTGTTTTTAATTAGCTACCAACAAAGCTGTCGGTTTAGCTAATTAAAAACAAGTGAATAAAAAGACCTGCCTGTCGTGGCTCGTATATAGTATCCTTAGAATGTTTTCATGAATTATAATCTCAAATTTATAAAAATATTAAATATACTTGTATATGAGTACTACAAATTAGTGATCTGTTTTCTGTTCCTACATTACAACTCTTTTTTTTTGCTTTCGACAAATATCAAACGTATATACCTGTCTCACTTTCCAAAAGTGTAGTTCGGCCACAAAAAAAAACAGACCTTAGATTATACATAGAATGTATATATAATTATATATTCTATTGTTCTATTGTATGTATAATACTTATTAATTGAGTTATTATCAGTTCTTTTTTGGAAGATTTCCTAAAATAAATAATTTCTTGAAAAATTTTTCTGATATATACGTGTGTATAAAAATTAAAAAGCATCTAGCAAAGCATAATGTTCAATTAACTTATTAATTTAAGAGCTTTTATATTATAAATGAGTATTATTTTTCATTCTTATTTCTAAACTGCAAAAATATGAAATCGAAATTTCGCGGAAATAATATTTCGAGTATTAAAGGGTTGAATTAACTATCGCAGCTTCTAACTTTCATGGCTGATATCAGGGAGGGTTGGGAAACTTACTTACATTGTATGAAGTTACTTAGCTATCCAAACCGTTGCCAAATTGATTGCAATCGAATTATTTAATCGAACGTTTGATGGCTCAGCTCAAGGGTCATGAGACTCAGCCATCGTGTTGTCTGTAGCATGAATAATTAATTATACGCTGTTGACAAGGCCAGCGTGCAAATTGTACATCCTACAAAGTAGGCATTGCATGAAATGAATACCGATCACAACTTTTAAAGAAAGTAAAAATACAAAAATTTGACATGTTTAAAATAATATTTCACGGAATTTTGGGTTTTTTAAAAACTGTAAAGACGGTGGGTAAAATAAACAAATCTGCAATTTATTAAAATAAATTCTAATTTGCTCCATAAAAGTCACACTCTACATCATGATAATTCTACATTTGTATAATTAAAAGATATAATATGGATATTGCTCTCGATGAAACACATGTGACACTTTTTACACGCATATAGTAACAGTCTCGAATATAAGTGAGATACATCATTATATATAAACTTTATAATTTTAAATATAAAATATATATTTAAATGTATATGAATATGTATCTACATAATAATCTAATTTTCAAAAATTATTATAGATTATATACATATATTTTTACATATGTATATATATATGTATAACGTGTATCTATATGTGTGTGTTTGTACTTACAATTAGTATAATGTATCTCTTTTTTTCGTTAACTATTATGTAATGCCGATGACAGAGGCAGAACTTTTTATTGGCATGTGATCGATGAAGCTTTGATGATACCTCATTGTCGCGAATGGATGATAAGCCGGCTTCTTGTTCACGATGTTCGTTTAAACTCTATTTAACTGGTCAGTCTTTGTCTCGACAGACATTAAGCGTTGTTGATGATTATATTTGATCTTATCGTTGTGTTACAATCGCGTCGTGTAAGAGCAAGTACAAAATATAAATGTGCGCTTTTACCTTCGGATTAGCTTGTCGTCAACCCATGCGACTTTTATAACTTTTATACATAGGATGTCTCAGCACGCACGAATGGCACTTTAAGAATAAGTATTTTAGTTTATAGTCGATTAATTGTAAAGAAAAAATTTAATAATCCCTTCTTAAATTATTATCTACTTCGAGATACTCTATATTAAAAAAATTAATAAATCAAAAAGAATACACTCTATAAGAAATTTATATCTATAAAATGAATCTTCAGATCTTCAAAATTGAGAAATGATTCTAGAACTGTTTAATAAAATTTTTATAAATTTTACGTTACTTCCGAAAATTAAAAATGTAATTTCGCAAAATAAATTCTCGGTGATTTTTTTTCAAATTCATTGATTTTTATAGATTTATTTTCATGCCCAAAGACAACAATGTTCCATAGCTTTGGTCTATTGTAGCAACGAAAAATTCATACTTTTTTTGTTTACTTGCATTCGTTAAAAAGCTGCATTTATTTTCAAGACTAGACCTGACTATATACATATATACGTATGTATGTTATAAAATATAATCTACTACTCATGTATTATTTTGAGTATAGTTTATACTTTTGCATACAATCCTCAGACATAGTATATGTTAGCTGCAAATTTCAAGAACAATCGAATAGAAACTATGTCTATTATTTATCTATTATGGGAACCTTACATATATCACTTTGCGTTGTTTTGCATTGCTTTCGACTAAACGAGGCGTAATTATGCACAGTGCACTTTGCAAATCAAATGTTCAGTTTAGTTCAGTTTATGATATAACTATGATATCAATTTAGTTCAGTTTATGATATAACTATGATATAATTAATTATAATAATGCACATTTAGAGATGATTCATGTACAATGTCGATCATCTAATAAAATTTTGTTAAATAGCTCTAAAATTATTCTCGGAACGTGTACCGGGCCGACTAAATAAAGTTTTACTTTAATAGTCCTAAATGTATTAAAGTTTGTAATAAAAATCCTTTATATATGTATATATATATACATATATATATATGTATAAGGGATATTCAACTGTATTTACAATAACATAGCAATATCGGTTTTTATTGTTCTATCTATAATATAAATTAATCTGAATTTATTTCTTTTTCGTGTAATTCTTTTCTTTAATTGATAAAGTTCGTTAAAACGTGTTCGTTTTATGTCAAGTAGGCAGTTTAAAAGAATCAGAAAGATATAAAAAAAGGAGCAAAATAATATATTACTTTCATAACGTATTATAGCCTCTCCTGTTTTCCGTTTCTCCACTGCGAAACGTCGTCTATAATGAAGGCTAACACTTTCTAAAAGATTATTTGCTATAATACTCACGTTACCTTGCACATTTCCTCTCTCTCTCTCTCTTTTCTTTTTCTCTAACGATATAAGGATATAATTATCTCAAGGTTATCTATTATGCTAACTTATTCAAACTTCTCTTCTTTAAACGCGAGATTGATAGCTTGTCCGACATCCTTTACGATAAATGCCGGTTTACATAGACCATCGTCAACTGGTAAGAAATCTCTGGGACTATGTTCAGGTATAAATTTGGAATCTCGTTGATGTACGCCAGTTTCAACTAAAATACTAATGCAGGCCTTCGCGCTAGGATCTTTCTTGTTTTTCCCAAGGAGTTTTTCTAGGCTGCGGGACATAGTCCCTTCTCCGGACTCATAGCGGGATAAATACTTGTCATATAGGTTTGCACCAAAAATGTCGGTGTTAATATTGTCGCTGTAAAAACGTATGTAGATTATACATATTATGATATTTTGTAATATATAAAAATTATATGTAAACCATATCTATTGATGCATTTAATCAATATTTCTATTTGATACGCACCCAATAGCATAAATTGTGTCGATATTGTCAATACCAATGCTTCTGGCGTGATTAACAAGTAGTTGATTGGCATGATAATACGTAATCTCACTAGGTTTTCCGACTAGAGCAGCGTATGTCATGTCTTTATTTGTAACTTTCTTATACAAGTTTTCAAGACACAATAAAAAAGCACCATGGCCATACCGTGGAATCGGCGCTTCCGATGCCCATAGCAAATCCATGTTGCATGCCAACACTGGAATGTGCGGATACGGAATAACAGTAGGTAATCCTGTGGGCATTCCATTGGTAACTAGAAGATCTACCATTAATTGCAACGATGTTTCCCAATTTATTGGTTCACTCAAGAGCAAGATTCCCTCGATTTGTGGGAAATTTGGATCAACCGGACCGCAAATTGGATTTCTTTTTTTTACGTTTATATAATCTAAGCATGGAAAGTTTTTTACTACTTCTTCTATAGTTGTTGTTTTCTTGAAGCCCAATTCTCGGGCTATATCCGTTATTGGGCCTTGACCGGATATAAGAACTTGTTTGTTATGTAGATAATCAAACATTTGCAACGGTGAGTGAGCCAGGACAACTTGCGATTCCGTGACTTCGACGCCGATCCATTTTGACAACTCTGTCGCTTTCTGACTACGCAGCGAATTCCCACTGTTAGTAACAAATAATGTGGGAACGCGAAATTTTCCATTGTTCCCTTGAAGCCGTTTGAAAGATTCTTTTACTGGTGGCAGGATTTGTTTTCCGCGTATTATCACGCCATCAATGTCAAAAAGTAAACCAAATTTTGGTTTTGTACTTAAATGCTGCGGACAGAAAAAATAAATTTATATTATTTAAAACTTTTTTTTAACTTTTATTTAAATATAATACATTTGAATCTTTAAAATTTTTTAAAGCTGTAATACTTGACATTTATCACACTAAGTTATTTATATTTCTATCTTGAAGTAGCATAAATACAAAAATATTTTTATTTAATAATAAAAATACTTCTAAATAAATTTAAAAAATATATAGTATTATACACAAAGGCATGTATTTTTGCAATTTATAAAAAAATACAATTTAATATAAATTCTATTAAAATTATATAATAAAGTATAGTTAATAAAGTTATTATTATAAATATTACAGCATTTTCTTGAAATAAAAATATCAATAAAAGTAAATCTATCAAAAGTAACTGATAAAAAAATTTAATTCAAATTAAAATTTTTTTATAAAGTATGTCAAGAACTTTAAATGATAATGCTCGTTAAGTTATATCGATAAATCGTTTATCAGTAATAAGAAAAGATTGAGATCAAATGAGTCGATAAAAAATAAGTAAATATAAATTCCAATGAATAATATATGCTACAGTGTTACATCTGAGAAAATAAGTATATAAGTTGTATATATAAAACTAAAAATAATGTATCATCAATGACAAAGTTATGAAAGAGTATTATATAAAATACGAACAATAATAACGTACAGTGGTGACACGTATGCGCGATCGTGTTCTGGAGCGCGCCGAAATAAGAAAGAAAAAGAGAGAAAAAAAGAGAAATCTCCTAGGCAAAAAAAAACAAAAGGGACGAATAGATCAATCGTGACTGATCATGACAACCGCGCTGAAAAAAGGAAAAAGCGAAAGTGTCGGGAAAACTCACTCTGACTCCGGTGATCCTCGCGATGTCCATCCGCAGGAAGACGTTGGCGATCGCCATGTCTTCCCGTTTTTCTTAATAAGCAAACGATGAAGCGATGACGTGCGGATTCGATCCCGTCGCGACGACCTCAAAACACTTTCAGGCCGCCCGTCGCGGCTCGATTACGCATAATGACACGCTTTGAGGTTATGTCAACCTCACGGCGCACACTTCGCACGTACTGTTTGCACGTGCCGTAAGAGGACCTGACGGCATGATGCGATGACACGCGATTGGAGGACGGGGAAGGGGAGTCTTTCTATCAGCTGTATTTCTTTGCACTTGTTTGCACTCTCAGCGTTCAAAACAAGATGATCGATTTAATATCTACTTGTATACAGTTTTGTTATAAATATGGATAGTATTATTAATTTTTTATTTTTTAATGTGAAAAGGATTAGATTAGATCAGTTGTATAATTATAAACATATTCATTTAAGCAATTCTGCCGGCTGAATTAATCGCTAATTAAATTACAATTGGAGTTCGGTCAAAGTCTAATGTCCATTTCTACCAATACAGATTTATTTAAATCTCGGTTTAACTCACTTATTATTTTTCTCCAGTTCTAAAAATTAGAAAAAAGTAAAGAGTATGAATTAAACCGAGATTAAAGTTAATCTACATTTTTGATATATAAAATGTAAAAATTGACATAAGAGATTTGTTTGTTTCTGCACTTTATATGCTTCGTGCGAAAAAGAAAGAGAAGAAAAGAAAAGAAAGAAGAGGTATATAGAATACGAGTAATAATAATAATAATAATAATGAAATTTTTTGGCCATTTCCGATCTTTCTTTTTTTTTCTATTTTTTCAACTTTTAAAAATTCTTATTTATTTCAAGAGAAAGAGAGAGAGGGAGAGAGAGAGCGTAAAAATATAATGTACGGAAAAAGACAAATTGCTCCGATTAAAGTCAAGATCATCGCTTCTGCTCGAGATCAGTATTTTCATCGTAAGCAAGAGGTAGAACTCTCGTCGTCAACGTCCGTGATGTTGGCAGCGCTTCCATTGGCTTCCACTTACACGGAACATCGTGCCGCGCAGCATCAACGGGGATAAATAAGGATGCGGCGCTGTATAGAAGATCAGGGTTAGGTTTAAACGTCGTACACTCACCGATTGGGAATTTCGTTCAAAATGTTTATTAAGCCATTCAAAGTCAAGACCAATTACCAGCTAAAGGGAACTGAGAGGTTCGTGGTATTTTTCGGACATTTTGATAATCCTTATTGCTTCAGTAGTTCTTGGTTGTACTCGTCTGTTAAATAAATTTTTGTTATTATTATCCTTTTTGTCGATATTTTTTACATACATATTTTTCTACGGGAATAAAATAGAAGGGAATTTGCAAGTCTGATTATAATAATAATCAAATATCTTAAATGAAACTTACTTTTACAATATATTTGAATGTTTTATTTATGATATATTTTTATGTGCTAAGTGAAAAGAGATAATTCATTATTAGTTATCTTTTTTAGGAAAAAATTATGCGAGGAGGTATTGGCGGCGTATCCAAGTTTGTCGGACGAAGAGATCCAGTCATTGTTGCCCAAAAAGGAAGCCATCAGCATTATGAAAATAGTAACGTATAGTGGACACGTAGGCAAAGTGTACTGTGTCGCCAAGATACCTATGTTCTTTCAACTAGACTCGCATGACACTCTGCTGTTTCCTACAATTTATACGTTATGGCACCATCCATATTTATTAAACACTTTTACTACGCACACACCAGTTATATCCAAATTGGTGGGAGGTGCAGATCTCATGTTGCCTGGATTGATTCTGAAGGGGCCAGTGACTCTGTATAGCTTTGGTAAATTGCCAAAGGGTACTCCAATGTCGATTAATACTGAGGAAAACAAGGTTCAGGCTTTATCTTTGCATCCGTTGATTATAAAAATATTGAGGTGAGAGAAAAACAGCATTTCTTCTGCAGGCTGCAGTTGCGGTCGGTGTCACTGCACTTTCCAGCGAAGACATGTATATGGCAGCTGGACATGGAAAATGCGTGGAGATATTTCACGTTATTGGTGATATGTTGTGTCAATTGGGCAAACCACCCCTGAGGCCTGATTTGGGTTCACCGAATGTTGACAGTCCTACAAATACGTTAGAAGATATCGAATCGATTAATCAAGAAGCAATTGTAGATGAAACTGAAATTTTATCGGTTAAGTTAGATGAATTAAACACCGACGAGGATTCAAGCGACGTAGTCGAAGACAAAGTCATTTCTAAGGTAGTTAAATCGGAGATTCTCTTAAAAATGGACGAAGATAAATTGATTATTGTTATGTTATTTAGGAACATATAGAAGATGTAGAAACTGAAGATGTACAAATTTCAAACATAGTTGAGCCAGAAGCAGTTGATCCAGTTCAAGAGATGGATGCGCTACTGGAATACTGTTTCTTGAAAGCATGTAAAACAACTGTAAAATCTAGTGATCTGCCAATGTTGTCGTCCAACTTCTTCAAAAATCATCTGTTAACTGCTTGTCCGCCGGGTAAAAACGTTGATGTAAAGAAATCTCGGTATAAAAAACTATCGGTTTTTCTAGCGGAAATGAAGGCTAAAGGAATAATCAATACATCCATCACAAAAGGTGTTGAAACGTTGTTGTCCATTAAGGTAACATTTGTTATTTATTTTGGATTCATTCTGATAAAATTAAAAATTTTTTTGGGAAATAAGCTCTTTGATTGGGATATCAATTACAAGAGATTTTTTTTTTTTTTTTCATTTATTTCAGTTTGATCATCCACTTGTGAAGAAATTAGTCGTTACCGAAGAACCAATTGCGGCTGAACCAGTGGTTTCAAATAGCGCTGTTGTATCAGAATGTTATCGAGTGACTGCTGACGTTCTGCCAGTTCTATCAAAATTCGGCTATGAGTAAGTATGGTAGGCATGGCACTTGCCGAGTGACGCCACTTTATCGCGATGCAATATAATTGCAGAAAAGACGGTTTTCTAAGCGGTGATGACGAAAGTCGCTGAATGTTACATCGTCGTAATATATAAACGTGTATTGTATATCACTTTACACCGAATACGTGGTGATGATTGCAGAAAGGGTGACGTAATGAAAAGAGCCGACATCAGAAAGTGTTTTACTGAGTACGTGAAAGCGGAGGATCTGCAAAACGGAAAGTAAGACTACGATGCTGCACGTATAAATTCGATCCTGCATCTTTTTCTACATTAATAGCGATTAATTTTGTAGAACGTTAAAACTGAATCCCCAGTTGGCGGGAATTATGCGAACTAAGGCTCATCAGGAGACGGTAACGATGGAGGATGGGATAAACAAGTTTATCGGACGTATGACGCATATGCACGAGGTTACCCTCGCGGGAAATACTTTGTTGCATACGGGAAAATTGGAACCGATCGACATGAGAGTAACAGTGCGATCAGGCGGGAAAAAGGTAAAAGTCGCGGCTCAGAATAAACGATACGAAAATTTAATAACTTTTAAGGCTTCTACGGATTTTTGTTTTCAAAGAAGCTGATTTGCGGGTTATCCCCGTGTCTTGATACATTGTCAAATGTCTTGACGGCACGTAGCTTCTTTGATACAAGAATTATTCGTTTTTCTGATGACATCACACAAATTGCAGGTAACGTTGGTAAACAACCTAGAAACGTTCGGGATCAATCCGAAAGAATTCAGCAAAGAGTGCCAGAGCATTGGGGCGAGCGCGACAATCACTGATGATCCTGGCAAAAAGACACCCAGTGTTCTTGTTCAGGGGAATCAAATTTTATATGTGTACAAATTACTCACAGGTGAGTCGCTTTGATTTTAATATTCATTTAAATATTTTACAATTATGCAAACTTTGTAACTTTGTTTATTATTGCAGAGAAATATCAGATAAAAAAGAACTACATAAGAGGTTTAGAATTCGCCCCGAAGAAGAAAAAATAGATGTTTTAGTGGTTGTCAACTGAAAACTAAACTCAAGTGATCAAAATCCTGTGGTTTAATTTGTTTTCTTGAAATTTCATCACAAATGGATATTCAATACTGACGAGTGCAATTTCAACGGAGAAATTTCAATTGTAAATTGAAGGGTGCTGCTGTTTTAATTATTATGGAAACATGTTTTCTAGTAGATTAAGACAATTGTGGAGAATTAACAGTCACCTTTTATCAGAGAGAATATATGTTACAAATGATTATCAAATAAAAGCAACTTAGAAATATACAACATATGAATTCTTCTTATTATTATTATATTTATCCAACCTTCCACATTTATCATTTCGTATTATTATATAAAACATATGTAACAGCTAAAGAAAAGACAAGGAAAATTTCTTGAGGCGCAATGAATAGGTAACATTCATACGAGAGATGACAGCCGATCGAAGTTTGTTAATATAATTTATTATATATCGAGGTTTCAACATGGAAAAGTACAAATATTGCAATATGGGGAGGGCCCGCGAGCTCTCCTCGGGTGGGAGGGAGGGAGGGAGGGAGGAAAGCAGGAAGGCAGGATGGGGTTTTCGATTGCACAGAAGGATAAAAGAGGCGCGACGCACGTAAAGGGGATGTTTTTTTGCGGGATACAGGGATGCTGCGTTCGGATGAAAACCGAGAGCGAACCGCGTATACGTGTATAATGTATATGTATATGTATATAATCATATATTTTTCAAGTATATACATATAATATATATATGTGTGTGTATATATATTATATATATCTTTATATCGCGCGTTTTACTTCTGCCTTAATTTTTATCTCTTCTATTTTTTTTTTTATTCTTTTCGAGACGACGGGATGCCGACGGACGTCGCGGAAAATGGTGAAGGACGCCCGCCGGTGTTTTCTTTTCCTTTTTTCTCTTTTACATGGATAAAAGGAAGGTTCCCTCCTCTCCACGGCCCCCGCATATATTTAATACTCGTTTTGTTCTTCATTTTTTCTCTTTTTTTTCCTTCTTTTGTTTTACTGCACCTGCACGCACGAGTGCGTCACGGAAAGCCTAGCGACGCGCGCGCGCGTGTTTCATGACATAATTACGCTTTTTTTTCTCTCTCTCTCTCCCTTTCTCTACTCTCGCTATCATAATCATTATTCAATTGGTGTTATCAGTCACTTTCCCTGATCGTCTTGCAGACATACGATCGATCGAGACATAGCGATCTATTCCACGATGTTTTTTTTATCGCGCTCGCTTTGTCTAATCTATAAGATCATCATCATCGCGCGCGACAAG